CGTGGACGTGGGCTGTGCAGTGCGAGCGCAGCTCTCGCCAGCCAAGCGCTGCTGACAGCACGGCTGATTGAGCAACAGGCTCTCGCTGACGGTTTCCTCATTTAACTCCCTCCTCTTGGCAAAAAGCTGCTGCCTGTGGAAACACATGTAGCTCGGTGTGTGTACACAAGCCGGAGAAGAACCAAATCCAGAATCTGTGCAATGCGGAGACAGGACAAGACGCCACATCCCGGCTTGGCGTGGGGGCACCCGTTGGGCCCCGGCACTGCAGGCACCTTCCTCCTCTCCCAGCCTCGGTCAGCTGGGGGAATGATGCAGTGAGGGGTATGACAAACATACCGAGACAGACAGGACAGAGAAAAGCAGAAATATGAGTTGATGAGCGTAATAATGCACCATAATAATTGGTGTGTTTTGGCTTATGACCCAGCAGACCTGCAGCTCAGGAGAAACAGTGTTGTCTGGGCTCAGGACCATGGCCCTGTCTGTCATCTTTATGTTCATTCAGTTCTGTAATGTGAAATTCCATTTTGGCACCAACGAAATTCAGTAAATGCAGAAAGAAAACATAGTTGTTGCTCAGTATTTGCCACACGCTCTGCAAAATTGCTGGATGACCTCAAGTTTCATTCTCTTGCTGCTTTTGATTTCTGGCTGTTAGGAAATCTAAAGGAAATTCATGTATATTACTATCTCATGGCTCAGAAAATATGCGGATAAACCGAATCTAGACTATAATGTAAAGAAAACAACACTAATACTAGTTGTATTTCTTCATTCTAAGACTTACATTTTCACACTATAAAAAATATAACACACAGCAATTATAGTACGTTTATATTATTTCCTATTGGGTAATAAATCTCAAGGTCAGACTCCAATTCTAAGTAGGTTGTTTGGAAAACCATTTTTATTTTGAAATAGAAAATATCTGTTGTGAAGATGCATACAGCAAAGGAGCTGTAATCCGAGATTCCATGAGCCCCGAAGGTTGCTGCTGTGAGTGCAGGGTGCTGCTGTCAATTCAAAACTCACAGCTCCTTCATCTGCTTCCTTCGCGGTGACCAGGGCTCGTCCCGCTTTTGTTCCTCTTGTGCCACCTTGAGGGAAAAAAACTCTGGTGCATGGACAGAATTTACTGAGTTTGCTGCTACCCAGACATCCAAATACTCTGCTTTCCGGTTGGGTTTTTCCCAGGCCCCTGGACAGAACATCCTCTGCCCCAGTTATAAAAGCAAAGAACAAAGTTTCGGGACTCGGTTCCTTACTGTCTTGTCAATGCTGCTGATAGAGGCTATGTAAAATCCTGAGGTCACCGGTAACCTTCAGTGTCATCTCCAGATGATGCCTTAGATCATACAATGTTTTTCCTCAAAGCCCGTTAGCCGGCTACATCAACATAAACTATATTTTCTTGCATTAGCATGGAAACAAGTTAAAATCAAAACATGATTTTGTGAAGTTCACCAAACAGATCATTCTCTTGAAAGCCAAGGTACTTAGTCCACCTTATGCTTCACATCAGGAGGCATGAGTTGTGTACTGACATCTTGTGATTGCCCCATCTGAACAGGCCAGATGACCACCGCCACGAGAAGTTCTAGTGATCCCAAGGATGACTTCATTGCCAGACTGAAGAGCTACCCTGACACGTAGTGCTAGCTGGTGTCTTCTCAAAACCCACAGAAAACCTTTTCAAAGCAATGAAACCCACTGCTCTTCCCTCCCCAGTTAAATTACAGGCAGTTTCTCTCCCTGTGACTTCTCTGTTACGGTTTCAGGGCAGCAGGGAAGCAATGCAGAAGGACTCCTGCCCACTACAGCTGAGCAGGTAGAGCAAGACCAGCATGGGTGGAGCTGGTGGGACAGTGAAGTCTTGTCTGCTCCTGGAAACAGGGTGCTCAGCACCCCAGCCTCTCAGCACTGGGCTCCTCTTTCAGCTCTGGTATCCTGCAATGGGCACCAGCCCAACGCTGGCCTTCGACTTGGTTTGCTTTTCTACCCTTCAAGCAAGCCTTGGCCTCCTGCAAAGCTGTCTGGGCAGCTGCTCATGCAGGGAAAAATCGCCTGAGGTGGCAGCTCAAACCCATCCGGCAGCAAACAACAGCTCTGAATCAACATGCAAAATGCCTGGTCAAACCAAACAGTCACCTTCTACTTGGGTCACCATCACTATCCTCTTTACAGTACTGTCCATCAGCTCCTGTCTGGGCAATAGAAATGAAGGCACCAAGAACTGAGTGAGCTTCTGACCTACAAAGATGGCACCTCTGGAAGGGGACACTGGTGGTAGATGTGTTTGGGGGGGTCTGTCACCTCGCTTCCAGTGGACAAAATGACTTTTGTCTCCCTGTGCCTATGTTTTCTGAGCTCTCTCAACAACTAAAATTTAAAAGATTTGTCTTTTTTTTCATAATTTGAAGCAAGCATATATGAAGAACACACAACTGAAACCATACAGAGTTGAAAAATATACTGGTCACTTTTTATTGAGCACCGAAGTGGGAGAACCTGTACATGTCTAAGCACCATGGGCACAAACCAGGAAGGGTCTGCCTGGGCCTCCACAGATCCTTGGCTACCGCAGGGCAGAGCAGCTCCATGGGCACTGCCAGCAGCGCTTGGGGATCCGGGAGGCCATGAGCATTGCTAGCACACAGTGATACACGTAAAGGTTATCATAGCACCAAACATGCTTTAAAGTGTACACAAGAATATTAAAACCAATCTACATTAGTGATTTCCTACTGTGCTTCACAAGGCTGTTGTCAAGCCATTTGTCTTTGGAGAGAAGATAAGCTGAGGACAACTCATTCAGTCTGTGTTTTCTTTTCAGCAGGTGACGGATGCCAGTTTTGAAAACACAGCATTTAGACAAGCCTCTTCTGTGGCTTGTGTTTCTAACAATTAATAACTTGAAATGAATTAGCTTGAAAAAAACCCCAAGCATTATAGCACCACAAGGAAGGGTGATGTCTTTGATAACACCCAGTAAACAGAAATTCATCAACAAATTATTAATTTGTCAACTTTCTTTTTAAAAAATTCCTTTTGCAAGTAGAAAATATCTTTCCCATCCTATCCAGCAATGTGGTCAGATATGTGCTTTTGTAGCAATAAAAAAGCAGCCACTGAAGTGACTGTGTCCACGCAAATTAAGCATAGTTTTGGAGGCTTTGCAAGATCAGGTTGAGAAGTTTTAATCTTGCAAATTTGTTAATGCTCAAGACATATTTTTCAGGTGGATCCTCTGATATTTTTAGGCACTGAATTTTTAATTTAAAAATAGAACAGTTTGGCCTTTGCTCTTTGGGAGTTAGCAGTAACCATTGCAGGGCTTTGCTCATTTAATCAGAATTTGATTTTTCTGCAAAAAGTAATGCTGAAAAAAAGCCAACCCATTTCACTGAGCAGCACCTAGGAGCAAGGCTGCATTAAGACTTTCATGATGAGCTGTGCTGCTTTAAGTCATCAAGTAATGTCAGTGGCAAAGCGGCAAGTTTCTAGCCTAAACTGAGATTGGAACTATAAAATACGGATGGCCTCCTGTCTCTCAGCAGGAGTTAAGATATCATTGTATGAAGCTGTATATGATAAAATTCTAGAAATGGATCTGTCCGAATATGGTGCTGCATTTAATACCTAGAACTTGGATCAAAGGCATAAAGAATCTAGTGGGCTTCAACAAATGAAGATATTTAGGAAAATGTAGAGCCCTTCATCTGTTCCTTTGCTCTATAAAGCATCGAGGAGTGTGCCTGTTTATGATAGGGAACAGAAGAGGAGTTTGGCATCCTTCGTCTCTCCAGCTGCAAATGTCATATGTGAAGTATCAGGTGTTTTATAGGTGTCTTAGATTTGGCTTAAAACATTCGGTGAGTGGAAAAAAAATCCCATAGTTTGTGGGTGGAAGCAGGCACTTGCATTTGTGAATTGGGTATTTATATACACCACTACTACTCTGCATATTAAAATGCTAATTTTATGCATGCAGATGGGGACACGTACTAAGTAAGGGAGGAAATGGCTTCTTTTGCCTAGCAACTCTGGCAGATTTGTCAAAATGAAATGCAACTGTCCCTGTAGGACTGCCACAGAAAAGGAAAACATTCAGAGAAAATGTTTTTTCCATTTTATAATGCTAAACAGCCAAAAGAAGCTGTAAGGCCCAAACACATATAACTTGACCTTAAGGATTTATGACAGTCAACATAAAGGTACAGGACTTCTAAAAAGCAGTTGCCCATCTGCCAGACAATTCTTTTAATCACACAAATTTATCCTGCTTTTTCTTTTCTAATATGTTCAACAAATAATCCAGACTTCAGCCCTTTTTTTGAGGTTTTGCAGGTGCAACAATGCAGATGTACATTTTGTGAGTATTAACTGTGTTGGCTGAAAAAAAATAACTTACAAAGACTGGCATACATGTGTGTCTGCTTAGGTATTGTAGAAAGAAATCTATACCATCATTAGCTCTCAAACTGCAGCTCACCAGGCTGAGAAGCTAAAGGAAAGTAACTTAAAAAGAAACATTTATAAAACCTGTTTTGGTCCTAGCTCAGAGTTTCTCAGATTCTTAAGATTTCAGGTTTAGGCTTGTAGACTGGGTGTCAAACCTGGTGAAACCTAGGTAAAAATAGGAAAAGAAGAAACCTGTAGGTTTCTTCGAACTTTAAGCTTATGAAAAGGCTTATTTAAAGTTGTTCGAGACAGGCAGGCACTGGATCTGATCCAGAGAGCCGCTTTAGTCTCACATTCTTGCCTATTTTAATGCAACCTAGATATAGTATTTAGGTACAATTCTGACGTCACTTCGTTTTATAATGCTGAGTTATGTTCATGGTCTTGAAATCTGAATCGGTCACACATCACACAAATAAAGGGCAGGGTCTGTTCCAGCAATCCGATAATGGCGCTGTGGCTTATAGGGATCCGCTCAGAGGTATTTACATTTCATCGGTAGAATGGCAGCTGATAAATGGTGTGGTTTCTTTTGGGGGATCACATTTCTCCCCCTGCTGATAGGCTTAATATCTAGACTCCTCCTGTTTCTTGAATAGCAAACTCTTTTATCACTGGTGGGCAGGGATCAGGGTAACGCTGAAGTCGTGCTCGTGGAGATTTGGGACCAGAATTCTTCCAAAACACAAAATTGTTGGGTAAAGGATTCCTTGACAGCCGCTTAACAGAGTGGTCCAGCTGGGTGAAAATCAAACAAAAAGAAGGAATTAAAATATTTATCCTTCCTGGGATGTTTGCACAGAACTTGTCCATATGTAGCTGTGTAATCTTAACAGTCAGCCTGACGTAGGTACATAAAAGACACACTGAACTGCTTTGTTCTCGTAACTGCCAGTTAAGCTCAAGTTAGTTTTAAAGTAAAGTTGAAAGTGTTGAGAAAACCATCTTGGGACAGAAACTTTGGTATAATAAATATTTTCATTCTTGCCTAATTCAAAGCCTGATAAAATGATTGGAGCTTTTTCAGTTGGCTTTGCTCTGGCCAGATACGTGTACGTTTACTCACACGAGTGGGTCACACTAATCAGTGCAACTGTTCGCACACATAAAGTTATCCCACAAAATCACCGATGTGCCTAAGTATTTGCAAGACTGACCCTTACTGCAATCAGTCCAGAATAAAGAGCTTTTTAATTTGTCTTGCAGGAGCACTTCTACCTGCATTAGAAGAAGACCCTAAACAGAAAGTTTAAAGTCTTAAGGCACATGAAAATCTGCAGCATTTATTTTTCATCCTGAAAATCAGTCCATCCTCTAAACATCCACAAGGCAAAGGTTCTTCAAAGAAATCAGATGCATCTTGTGAAATTGGAATAAAGAAAGGGAGGGGGAGAGTAAGAGTTGGGAAAGATATTCACTTCTCCACAGACAGTTTGCAGAGCTCCATATCCATAGAATCACAGAATGGCAGGGGTTGGAAGGGACCTCTGTGGATCATCTAGCGCAACCCCCCTGCCGAAGCAGGGTCACCTAGAGCAGGCTGCACAGCACCTCGTCCAGGCGGGTCGTGAATATCTCCAGAGAAGGAGACTCCACAATCTCCCTGGGCAACCTGTTCCAGTGCTCCGTCAAATCTCCAATGACACAGGTTCTCGGGGTACTTTTACGGCACCATCTGTTTGTCACCATAGGGTTTTCAGTGCAATTCACAGAGCCTCAGGTATGCACCTGTACATAGGTTTAAGGTGCTGTCCTCATGCTGTTGTAAGTGAGGTAATTTCACCTTCAAACAACCATTTCTTTAAATAATTGCATACTAAGCACCAACTATTTTCACCCAGCTTTCCCTTTATTCACAGGACACTTACCCTGGCACGCGTTGGATTAGCCTAAGTGCTTCTGCTGGTTTTTCACGTAGCCAACCACATTGTTGGAATTGCTTCCTGTAAAACAAATATCAGCAAAGTTAGGTTTTGAGTTAGTCTTTGGCAAATGTTTTCTGAAGATTCTCTAAGCAGTACAGTTTTACTGGTCTCATTATTTAGCAGTTCTCTGGGAGAGCTGTGATAGCCTGCTGGACAGAGGAAAGGAAATCCTTTCATAGTTTTATCAGCTAAACTGGCCAATTTGTAAATCTTATAATAACAAAGATGTTGTCTAGTTATATCTGAATATCCCTTCCAATCTGATCTGACTGTCCTCCTCTAGACCAAAGAGTTAGCAGAAACCAGGAGCTTTGAAGCCATGAGAAAAGAGATCTTCTGGAAGACCCTACTGCTTTCTTTGAGACACATAGCCATCAGTTTGTGCACGGGACCCGACACCTCTCTGTGGGACAACAAGGGACTGATTTATTGGGCTCCAGTCACGTCTTATCACATACCATGATACAAGCTCTTGGCAAAAGACCCTGCTTTTGACAAAGTCCTGCATTCATCTGCAAGGAGTCCTAGGCCATGAGCAAAGCTCCAAAAGTATATTTTAAAATAGCAAAAGGTTACTGGATTGGGTGTTTCTCACCCCTCGGGTGGGAACCCCTGGCAGAAGGCTGCACCACTTAACACATAGTCTCACAGCTGAAGATACTGATTCTCAAGAGTCCACAGTCAGGGCATCGCAGAACTTAAAACCAGATCTTTTGACCAAGGCACAGAGAGTTGAGGCTAAAGAATCTCATTTTGCTATGTACAAGCCTTCATTTCACAAGCAGCAAATTCCTTGCAAGCAACGCAATAACTATAAAGCTTAATAATAGCAAACACTTCGTGCCAGCAGCTTACCAAAATATTCCTTGTAATACTTATGCCTCAAGTTGCGTCCGTCTGAAAAAGAAGGTACGTAATGAGAACATATCCAGTCAGCCTTCATTCTTTGTGTTAAACTCTGGCCTTCTGTGTACAAGCACAGAGAAATTATAGATATGGAAATAATAACCTCACAAGAGCAAAGCAAAAGATCTCTGTAGCTGAAGTAGTGTAGGCTGCTATAAACCTCTTATAAAACTGTTCAGATTATTGAACTACGTGGACACAACTCATTTCCCCTGAGAGTGGTTAACTGCTGGCCACTAGCATGTTATGTTCTTTTCGGTAGCTATGAGTCAAGGAATCACAGACTTTCTCAAATGAAAGAAAATTTGGGTAAAATTTCAGACCATCTATTAGTGTTTTACATAATTCAAGTTCCAGCTAGGTTTTTCTGTTTACCATTTGTATAATTACTTAAACTCTTAGAAATACCTCGTGTCTAAGTGCCATACAGCTATACATGACTGAGTTACTATGGATGTTATTAAAGAAAAAGTTATAAAAGAATAAAATAGATGATCAAAAAGCTCTGCAGAAAAATCTTAGTCTTTTATGGAAACAGTTCAGAGATATGGTTTGCTGCTTCCCCTGGTTTTTGCAGTCACCAAATGCCAAAACTGATGTCTCATGTCTCTACACTGAGATGATTTGTAGCCCAGTGCAGACACCCATATCCTACTATTCGATGAAGTTCCACATACCTAGACATGAGTTTTCCTGGAAAATACCTTGGCCTGTATAAGCTCCTTTATTGGGCAAATGTGTCAGCAGAATGAAGGGAACAGTGTTTGGATGCAGAAAGCAAAGTCAGAAGTCAAAACTGAAATTTGAAACTCATATTTCATAGTTAAGTGTGTAGTAATATATAAATATTTGTATTTTTTGTGCTGTGTAATAATGGCACATGCAGGTTACTACCTGCTCTGCTTACACAATCCCAGAGGGCATAGGCATACAGAGCAAAGAAGAAATCTGTCCCCTGCTTTGGTTATTTCACATAGCTCAGCCAACATCAAGGGCATTAGAGACTTGAGATGGCTGCAGAGTGGGGACTGAGCCCCAGCCCAGCTGTCACACACTGCCTTGAGGCCTTGGGCTTCCCAGAAAACCCAGGAAGCCCAGGAGAGCAGATGGACCACCAGACCTCCTCCAAACCCAGTGAAACCGCATTGTCCCTTACTGGTGTTTGCATGACAGAACAAGAAAGGAAGGGAGATTTCACGTCAACTGACCTGGATTTCCATGGAGCTTGATGCACTGGCCCCTGTTAGGAATTCCTTCAGCCGTGTTGCCCGGGTTAATGATATGGCATTCATAGCCTGTGGGGCAATGCAGAGGCTCATCTCCATCCTCCGTGGTACTGCAGGCCTCAGCTGCAAAGGAAGCCTGCAGCTCATAAATCATGACTTGAACACCCATAGGTAACAAAAATATGACAACATGGACACTTTCTTCTATATCTCCTCCCAGACAGAATCTCAGACTACTTCCCACACAAGGGTACCAAGGAGCTAACACTCCCAAAGAAGGCTGGCAGAGCAGTGATCCAGTTCACACCTTACACAAAACCTGAAGTGTCTAGCCCGATACGGGGAGCGCAGGTCAGCCCGATTACCTGTAACGACACCCTCTCCACAGCCTGTAGTGCAGGGTCTGTGCGAGGGCTGGAGAGCAGTGAAGACAGACCACCGCTGCTCACCATGCTCACACTGATGTGTGGTCCCTCCATGCGGCCATCAGTCTGTTCCAGCCAGTATTTCGGGCTGGATGAGGAGTCAGGGAAACACGACCAGGAAGCTGTCAGTTTGCTGCTTTGTTCTTTGCTCCACACCCATGAACTTACCGATGAATTTAAACCTCAGACATGACTCACTGTGGAGTAGGGCAGTACCATCCCCTGTTACAAATGGAGGCTTTAGCCACCTTGAACCTGGATTTTCAACAAGTGAAGAGCAGAATAAGAAAGTAAAGCAGGACTCAGGCAGTGTTAGTGCCCGTTAAAAGTACAGACTATGCAGGGACGCTCTACCCTTTCATTTGCCAGGGTTTTAATTTCAAGGACCTCTGCTATAATTCTCATGCCATGACTGGTGGTTCTTATTTCACTAATTACTCCCTCGAGCTGAGATTAAGGTGTTACGATAAGAACAAATAATATAAGCATGGCATGGATGGATGAGGAGGAGCCTTTATTTTCTTATTTCTGGCAGTGCAACTCCAGTGAGCTGGAGGTAGAATTTTCTCTTGAAGAACCAGGAGTTTCCATAATAGATGAGAGTCAAGGTTCAGTGAGTCTGATGCCTTCTGAGTAAGACCAAAGAGGGCAATTTATCTGCACTACTTGCATCTAACTAAAGCTGATCAAAAGCTGGAGTAGCCTTTCCATGCAGAAATTAAGAACTTCAGGCATACATACATCTAGGAATGTCTCGTAGAAGAAAACTTCTCTTCCCACCTCCCCACTCCTTCCTTGTTTCAGTTTGAGGTATCAGAAAACATTAAAGACCTTTCCCTATGGAATTAACCTAAGAAGCTCAATCTTACCAGCAGTCCCCAAGCTTAGATGCTGCCAGCTCCATGTCAGCTTGACACAACTTTGGAGAAGTTTGCCAGGGCTCTTGTTCAAAGCAGCCTTCAGACCTGAGAGCCCCAGCCCCAGCCCAAGGCATCTGTTCGATGAAACCACTCTGGATTAAAAGATCTCCTAATCCAAGTCTGCCCATGGTCTATCAGGAAGCTGGCAGAAAATATGTGTATGCTGACAAAGACTTTTTCTAAAAAAAAAGACACTTCTACTCATTTCAAAAAAGATATTTCTACTTATTTCAAGAATGGAAACAAATCCAGTTCCCTGCAGTATTCCTAGTCCTCTGCTGGATAAGCCATATCCATAAAAAACCAGCAGCTCCAGCACCCCAACATCCCTGGCAAGCCCTGTGTATGATGAATATATTATTTAGCGCCTTTGTATCATTACCGATATCACAGAGAAGACAGTGAAATGTACTGTACCTTGTAAGACTTCCTCTGGGCCATCCAAAAGCCACCCATTTCCTCCCAGCCAGCGGGGTTTGGGCTGAACCAACCAGTCTAAAACTGTAAAAGACAGAAACAAGAAACCACAGAGTCAAGATGGACTAGCCATAGGCCACACAGTTATGGAAAAGTCACAGATTTCCTCTAAGAGCCAGTGACAAGGCTGCCAGGCTCCTGAAGGATGGATTTGAGTGTTCAGCAAGATACTTGTGTTCATACTGTTGTTGTCCCAGTGGTGAGAGCACTATGGATGCTATCCAGGCCCCCAAGAACCTGGTGTCATGAAGGCCAAAGCAGCAGTTGTTTTCCATCCTCCATTCCCATGGTACGGATCAGTTGAGATGGCTGCCTGGCTTCTGTGAGCACTAATTCAGATTGGAATTACTTCTTTTCCTGCATATATAATCCCAGGAGAACTGGCCTCACATGATTCTACCGTTTGTGCTGGTGGAAATTTTGCAACAGCAGCTGACCTTAGAGAATTTCTTGATTCAGCAGTCATCCCAGAAATCAGAAGCATGGAACCAAAGCTTTGTCCTCAACTCACACTCAAACCATGCCTCCTTCCTGAGACCCAGGGCAGAAGGCGATGACTGCCAGCATTTCTGCGTGCTTCTCTCTACCACAGTTTGATTGCGGGGTCCACTCTACCTGGAGGTGGCTGTACGGACTCCAAGCAGGCGTAGATGCACCCGTTGTAGCAGCAGCGCTTGTGCCTTTCACATTCTGAATCCGACCGGCAGCTGGGCACCTCGCAGGCTCGGTCAGGCAAAGTCTGGGGTGGTGGCGGGCAGCGGTCGTTCTTCTGGTAGTGGGAACTGTGAGAATGAAGAGGGTACTCATAATCCTTGCAAAGAAAAGAAAAGGAAACAAAGGTTTGGCATAAGGTGAATACCAAACATCCCATCAGTTGAAACAGAAGAGGGATTTTCAAAGCGGTTTTCAAGTATTCATTAGAGAGGAGAATTAACCATTCAGATCCCCCAGACCTGTCTTCAGCACACTGAAGAGAGACTTAAATGATCACCTCAGCACACTGCTCTGGAAACACTAAATCACCAAATTATTGTGTGTAACTCATTTTATAATTAAGGTTATTGCAATAACAATGAGGAGGTAAAAAATTCCTTTAAAGTCTTTTATACTTGTCTGGAAAACAGAGAGAAAGACTCCAAGCATCATCATGATACTTTTCATAGTAAAGCAGTGGAAATGATGATACTGTGCTGTTTTAAGGTTACGTCCCCAAAGAGATCTGGAACTAATGTCCCCAATAGTGCCTGTCTCTTCAACAGGCTCCTTCTACCTTCATCAGCTGCTTCTGGACCAGAATTTATAGAGGAGCGGTATAAAGTCTTTCAAGCTTATCCACTGCAGGGTCCTCGGTTGTTAAATTAGAGACCATTTCTAAAACATGAGATGATCTGGGTGAGATCTGTGTGGGTGGTATCAGTCTAATCCCAAAGAAAATGAGGCTGTGTTTGACTGTAGTAGAAAGGAGTCCAGCTGCTCATTGCACACTGAAAGGACAAGGAAGATTTAAAGTGGATTAACAGGCACAGGATTTTACCAGAAACTTTTATAAGAGGCAGCATTCAGATATTATTCACACTGGCAGCATTTTAGCAAGAAGCTAGCTCCCTCCAACAGAGAGATGAATCACCCAAGCCCACTCCTTTCTCACCTGTGGCTAAACTACTCATCTCTGGGCTTGAGCTCAGCTCCCCAGAGCAGCGTAAAGTACTCAGAAAGGGCAATCAGTTCTCAGATTTATTCACAAACATTAATAAGCTCTAATCGAATCAAAAGATAGATTCTGGATTTGCGCTCTAATTGAATCAAAAGATGGATTCTGGATTTGCACTTTTAAAAGAGATCAGCATCTAGCCAGAGGTATGAAGTGAGTGCTGCACTCGCTAGCAGGCTGTTGAGTTTAAGAGTCTTATATATACTTGGCCCGATCACTGCTGTGTTACGAAATCAGTGACGAACAACTGGGGTTGTTATTCCAAGAAACAACATGGTGCAACTGTCCCTGAGGGGGTTGCTAGGGAATTTCACCATCAGGCTATGGAGAAATTTGAGGTGAGACTAATATCTCTCTTCATCTACATGCTGCTGCATCCTCACTGTTGAAACCTCCCGATGGCTTCTGTAGAGCATGTGTGCCTTTGCAGAACAGCATGTCCCCACATGAACTGTCGAAAAAAATGTCCCAGGACAGGCCCCAGGAGGTCCATTGCCCTGGGGACTGACTGCTGGCCCACATGGCCTCTGCCGCTACGTGTGACTGAGCAGCAATCAATTATCTGTAATGGTGGAAACAGTATCATCCTCACTCCCTTGGGATAATTTGTGACATAAAGAATGAAGGCAACCCCAAGGGACACTGAAAGAAATGACGATGCACATTGTTTGTGGTACTGATGTCAGAAATTTTACTTCCATATTGTACACAGCATAGAATCATATTGATAAGGTGGTGGTTTTCACACCAAAGCTGACCTCTGTTCTTTGAGCCATAGCTAGGGGGAAATGGAGAGCAGTGATTTTTCTCCGCTGCCTGGTTGCACAGCGATGGAGTGTCAGCCAATGTAGACGTACAGAGAAAAGGCAGGATGATTAAAAGCTTTAATTTCTGTTACAAGGTGTAAGTTTAAGAGAATCCATATCCTGGTTATAGTTATAACTGGTTAAATAATGTGTGTGCATATCTGTGTGTGAGAGAGAGAATTCCTAATATTTCCACAAATGACAGCCTCCTGCCCTGTTCCCTGTATCAGCCTGTCCTGTTCCCAATACCAACAAACAATTTTCTTCTGCTTTACCCGTAGTTGTTTCCATTCAGTGAGCAAGAAACTGCTCAAAAACCCTTCCATGAGGCTATTTTCCCAGGAACTGATAGGCTATTTGAACCACAAAATAGGTTTGAAAAAAAAATTCCTAATTTTGACGACATTTTCAATGTTAAAGCATAAAACAAGGTGTAAACTATCACATCATTCCATTCCTCGAAGGCTGAAAACACTCCAGGTTTGAAATAAAGTGCTTTTGAATGGAAGATATTGCAAGTTGAACTTTTTTTGCTGTTGTTGGATTTTAAATAGAGAAAATGCTTGGACCAAGTATAATTTTGGGATATAAGACAGCATTTAACGATACATCTATGCAGTTCCAAATGTTTAAGAGGTCTCCTTGTTGGAGGGAGCATTCATCCTGGAAGGTCACAGTTTGCTATTCTGTTATTTGAAATGTCAGCTGCAGACTGAAATGTGACCAAAATAATACTGGCAAATAATGGATACATCAAAAAAAGAAACCCAGCCCCCAAACAATTACTGCAGTTGCTTCACAGATGATTCAGAAACCAAGAAGCCAAAATTGCAATGAACAGTTGGCTCAATGAATGAGATTTCCATTTGGGAACAATATAATATTTTTAGCCAAATAACTTTGTACCTCACGACCTTCCTGCCCATTTTCATTTTTCATCTATTGCTCTGAACCCCTTTCTTTCAAAACCTCATGGTTAGACCAATATTTTTTGCATGTTTGGTCTAATAAAACTATTGCCATTGGTTTATGTATGCATAATCCATCCCAGTGGGAAACAGGATTCCCTCATTCCCAAAATAGCCTGGTTAAGAATGTCTCCAGGTATGGGTTACAAGGTCTTTTTAAAAGCTCTCCTAGGATTCACAGTTGGGATCTGAGCATAGCTTGGATTTATTATTTTTACAGCTTGTGACTATAGCCAAAACTTCTTCCCTTAATAATATTTTTTCAATGCAGGAGGCAAATTGCTGTTTCCCATGGAGCCTTATTAAATCCTTTTAATGACAATATCTGCCTTAGAGATACGCAAAAACAAAGTAAGGGGAAAAGTTCAGAGTTCAGCTGAGGAACCCTGGAGGTCAGTGAAGACGACCAGGAAAAAACTGAATGCAATCACCCACTCCCAACCCATATTTTCAATAGTAACTCTTGGATGCAGTCTGCCACCAAAAAATCCTATATCTGTTCTATTATTTGCACCTGAAACTGGACCCTGGGTTTTTGTCAAAGCACAATTTGCTGCTAATTTATATTCTATATGGCCATCTGCAAGATCATACATGGCCTCTGGCTACCAGTTCTGCCCCTGGCAGGTATTTCCAAATACTGGCCATAAACCACCTTTTCTCTGAAACAATACACAGTCAGGAGGAATTTAGAGCCCTCCAATATTTCTATCAAAGACCTGGAAAAACACAGATCATCGGTGATCAAAGTTGCAAATATCAGACTGATGGAGGGTTAAATAATCTGAAGGACAAGACCAAAATAGGAACAATATTGTCTCTGGATTAATAAATTTGGCTCTGGTGTCTGCAGTACTTGAAGATTGTTTCAAAATTAGGGTGGGCAAAGAAGATGTGCAATAGCAATTAGAGGACCGGAAAGGAGGGAATGCAGTGCAAGACATACATGTGCGTGCGAGTTTCGCAGGGGAGGTGGAGGGCTACTCTGCTCGTATGCTACCCTGAGGCATATGCGGGACAGAAATCTCATGGGAGGTGTGCTAATCTGGTAGACAAAGAGGGTGTCTCAGTGTTGATTCAGGACAGCTGGCTGGCAGGTAAATGAATTGTTGGAAGAACATTACAGCAGCTGCGAGGAATTCTTCATTTCTGGAAATCTTTAAAAGAAGGCTGGATTTTTTTCTAAAAGACTCGATGCAGTTGACATTGGAATAAAATCAAGACTGCCCCAGGTTTTCCCAACAGACATGTGGGTGTCTTGATAATGAGTTGAAGCCCACTCCCAGGTAGCTCCCTCCCTCTGCCCTTTAGGAACAGTCCACAGACTGTGTGGGGGCTGCAGAACACCAGCTGCAAATCAGTAAACTTGACAAGTGTCCTTCTGGCTGCAAAATACATGGATTTGCTAAAAGCTGGAAACCCCTCCATCCCACTGTGACTGCCAGTTTTTTCTTCTCACTGTATTCCCTCTCCTCTTTTTTCTCCATTCCCACTTGATCCCTCTTTGCCAACCAACACCCTTCCTCAGAGTCCTCAATACAAAACTCCTAGCCAGACCTCAAGCCAGCTCCTTATCCTAACACCTGCTCGTCATTCTGTGGCCAGCAGTTTGATGGATGTGTTCCTCCTACTGTGGACTCAGATTTTTCGGACTCAGACTACATCACCCTCAGTCAACTCCCTACCCCTCACCACCCCCTCCTCCTACAGACCTTGCCCATGTCCTTCTGGTGGTGCCACAGGGATGGCCATGGCCCATCTTCTGTATGGCTGCATGTTGCCGTGAGCACCTCCATCTGCTATCCCTCTATCCAAGTGACTCACAAATCAGCTGCTCCACCCACAGCCTCTGATTTTCAAACTGTAGGGAACATAGAGCATTTGGTAGACAAGAAAGCATCTCTCTGAGAAACAAGAGGGGCTGCCAAAACAGTCTCTTGGTGGATAAGAGGATGGAGAGTGGATGTCTTCCTCCTTACAAGGCTTCCAGGAGAAGGAAAAAGAAAAGCATTTTCTGTTTTCCCTAGATAAGATGTTTCTGTCAATATGAGCAATTATAGCTGAGCTTGCCAGATCAGTAGCACCTGGATTCCTGGCTGCCAGGAAAAACAGTCCTTTGAAGAACCGCAGAATGAAAGAAGAGGATATATCCTCAGGGGAGCGGGCTCTGTGCCTCTACAGAGAACATTACCTGAAGGACAACATGTAAATTCCTGTTCTACTCCTGTCCTATCTCTCTGGGTCATTTACTTCATAGCTCCTATTGAATTTGAGCTTCCACTGAAATATGACAGAAGAACATAGTAATAAATACACTTTCCACTGAGTGATTTTGCAGGAAATGCAGCTCTTCATGTCACCATTTTCCAATTAAAGTGCAAAACAGATGATACCCTGTCCCAAGAGAGGCTACAATGCAGAACATTTCTTGTAAAATACTGTGGTGCCTTTCAAATGTTAGCACAATATTTTCTGTGGAATTTCAAGGAGACAGGAGCACCATATTCCAGTCCATTCAGCACAGGCAAAAGATGTGTGTCACACTTCTGAGTCAGCAACCACACAAAGCAAATGTAGCTGTCTCCAAACATCGCTCTAGATCTCACGGACCAAAAAAAAGCACCCTTTTTAAATTACAAGTTTTTATGTGTGGCTGCACAAAACAGGTGGAGGAATCCCAGGTGACACCAAGGAGCTGTTTATGTGCACACACGATGGCTGGAAGACGCAATCAGACCAGAGCATGAGAAAACAGACTGACTGGGGCTTCCACCTAGGTGATTCAAGGGGCAGAAGCCTTGGGTCAGTGCTGGCTTCTATGGAGACTTTAATGGAGTAAGTCAAGATTTCAAATTCAAGGTTTTTTCCTTCTAAACAGCAGGTCCTGAAAGTCAAGCTATCAAATTATTTTCCTGTTTTTTTTAAATTTCCTCCATGGCCATTTTTAACAGTCTTTTGACCCAGATACAGCAGAACAAGACCCAGCACCATCCTCTTCTCCACTCATAGTAACTTGTTGCTTCTTCAGTTTCAAGTCCAGTACTGCTCAAAGTGCCACTGCAGATTTGGAAATGGTGGTTGTGCTCAGTACCCCACTGGCAAATAATCACATGGCTTTTTCCCCTCTGACACACTGGGAGGCACAGCAAGTGCTCCAGTGCTCCCTCGATGCACAGGGGACACTGGAGCCTCTGCAGCTCCATGCTGTGTTTTCTTGCACAGTCTCCTGTCCTTTCCTGGTTTGTTCTTTCTTGTGATGGCTTGAAGGTAAGAAAGTGGCTGGTGCCAGGTGACCATGGAAGTCTGCTGAAAGTGGTCGGGGCAGATGGGGCAGATGGTGAAGGTCTCTGTGCTCCAGTGATTTCCAAAACCCAAGGCAATGCCACTGTCCCTTCAGTACACGTTATCACTAGGAGCTGGAGACATTTACCCCAAAAGGCAGTGGAGGAACTGGGCAGTTCCTCCTCCTCCCTGCTCTAAGCAATAAATCACATCATTATCTTCTTTACCCTAAAATCTATCCCCAGACACACAGGGTTCGCATTCCCCTTCTCCCTGTTCACGCTTCCCTTGCTGCCCCATGCAGTTTCTAGGAAAAGCAGTGACGGCTGCCGTGCCAATGTCTTTTCACTGTTCCAGGCATGCTTTACAAAGTTTCCCATTGCAGCAGCTAGGTGGCAAAAGTTTAGTACAGCCTGGGAAACTTAATGCAACCCTTTCATAAAGAGACAGCCTGCCGATTTGAATACTTTTTATTCTAAAATGATACACATACGTAAAGAAAACCCCTTTTCACAGTGAGCATACTCAGCTCCCCCAGAATCACCCCGCCGCAGTTTACTCACATCATATTTCTCCGTCATTTTCAGATGTAGAGCACGCTTCCAGAGATTCCTTGCACAGCCCGAATCTGGCAGCAAAACTAAGACACACAAGGCTGCAGTGAAGATCTTCTTACATAAATGTATCTCTGACAGCACCCTGGAATCCATTTTCCTGAGGAGAGATCGAATAAGGCGCCTGGCTTTTGGGATCCAGACGATTCAGTCTTGGCAAGGAGGGAGAGAGACGGGGAGGGAGGGAGAGCGAGGGCTGATCGCTGGTGAGAGCCGCTTTTCGCTGTGCAGCTTCTGGGAAGGGAAAGGGAAAAAAAAAAAAAAGAGCCCACAAGCAGAAGCTGCTGTTGAACTTCTTTACTCAAAGTTAGATCAGGTTCTCAGCTCACATGTTCACACAAAGCACATGCTCTCCTTGAATGATAGATAGCAAGATTATTTGGAAAGATTATTTTTAGACCTTTGTTCCCAACATCTGGCATCCTCAGAGAGCCCCATTCAAAGCCAAAGCGTGGGATCAGATGACAGCTGCCGCAGGGGGAAATAAAGGTCTTGGAGGGGTGGGCTCTGCAGCTTCTAGCAAACAGCTCACCCAAACTTTCCAAGCTACTCGGCTCTCCCTTTGTGTGCTTCCCCCTGTGCCCTGAGCTGTGGCTTTAGATCATGTTTTGACAAAGTGGTAACTTCACATGAAGATTGCTCGAAGGAAATTATTTAAAGATATGATAATCATGCAGGGGCTTTAATTAAACCAAATTGACATTAGCTTTCTGAAAATGATTTTGAAGGGGAAGATGTGGCCATTGGGGAAAAATAAATCCGTATGCATGGGTGGGGAATAGGGAAGGAAGGCAGTTTAGAAATTACATGACCAAATGGAAAGTGAGGAAGGGGACGTGAGTCAGGCTGTGCCTGACAATGGGAGAGACAGAGAGACTGGAGGTGGAGTATTAGACACCTACATGGATATTCAGGCACCCAAGTGCCTGGAGAATGAGAATGGAATTATGAAATCAGGCTGAGAGCATTCCAGCATCCTGCCTGGGACAGAGGCTGAGGCAGGTGCCAAAGAAAAAGTGTGAGAACCGGGCAACTGTTATATATACATGAGTACAGATACATATATACATATGTATATGTATGCATGCATGTACTTTCACAGCCTTCAGTAATGTTGTTCAGGGATTCCTGAGCCAAACGTGGGGGCTGTTTATTTTATAATCCCCCATGAATTTCTGCTCCAGCAGCTTGTCCAGCCTCCACCTGGAATGACAGAAGAAATGGAAACACAAAGCTGGTTGAGATGTGAACACAAAGCCCTGCTTGCCTTCCGTTTACACTGACTGCAGCTCCACTCTATAGCCTAGGCAGAGCAGAGTGGAGGCTTGCTGGATGCATTGAATTTATTTCATATCTGCTGTAACATGGGTCTGCTCTGGAGAGTTAGACCCTGTGGACAAATACAGAAAAAATCTTCCATTTCTTCCTTATACCTGAAAGCTGTGGCAAGTCACTTTGATCCATGCCAGAATGTCAATAGCTGCATGTAGGTGGTAGCCAAAGGATTTCATCTCCAAGCTTGCCAGAATATGGTTACAGGAATCTGAAGAACGAGTGAGATGTGGGTTTTAAGAGCTCTTTACTTAACGGAATATATTTGATTTATTTAGAGATAAGAGGTTTACAGGGTTTCTAGCACTAACTGTGCTTTGGCACAGTCCTGTCCATATCTCTACCGCTGTAGAAAGCTTCTTAGCAACAAAACCTGTTCAGTTCATGCCAGGGAATTTAGTTTGTAAGAAAAGCCAAGCAGGGACTGCTGTTATGGGAGGGAAGTAGAGAGAGCAGGGTGGGGAACAAGAATGAAGAGTTAAGCTCGCAGCTGCAGCAATGTAAAGAGGTTCTGCTGGGACTAGCAGAGTGAGCTGCTTTGCCTCTGCATGGAGTCTATGGCCTCCCAAAGGAGCTCTGACGGCAAGTGTCTCAGAGGGGATCTCTGTGGAGATGCAATGACTGTATATTGCTCTGTATTTGTATAATCTTCATCACTGCTTGATCCATAGTTTTCTCCTGCAATAACATGACAGTCGCTCCCTAAGGCATGAGTGGGGTTTTGGGGGACTGACAGGATTTGGGGGGACCCCATGACACAGTTCCTTCAGGCACAGATGGGGACAGGGAGCATGCATTTGGGCTGGAGAGCCTTTCATGGCACAGAGGCTTCACCGCCCTCCACCAGGCTGCTGAGAAGACCGTCTCAGCAGAAAGCATGGCTCTAGGTCCCTGTCACCTGCTTTGCACCGACTGCTGATTCTCTTCTCTCCCAGAGCTGTAGTCACCAATTTAAAACAGTATTTATCCCAGTTTTCCTTTAAACAGGTCATTTCCCTCAGGCTGTCTTCTTTCTGGAGAAACCAGAAATTTCTGGAGAAATCCCTGGAGACATTCAAGGCCAGGTTGGACGGGACTCTGAGCAACCGGATCTAGTTGAGAGTGTCCCTGCTCATTGCAGGGGGGTTGCACTAGATGACCTTTAAAGGTCCCTTCCAACCCAAACCATTCTTTGATTCTATGGTTCTGCATTTAATAAGGACAACTGTGGACAACTCAGCTACGCAGAGTGACTCCCTAATGACTGAAGTGTTACCTTCAGATGAAGGCAGAGCTCAGCACCTACAGGTCACTGTCTTCTCCACCCAAATCTTATCCAAATGTCATTTGAAAGCAGGAGTTGTGCTAGAGTTAGTGAAAAGCACACTCAGGCATCTTCAGTACATCCAGAGAGGAATATATATCTACCATAAGACTTCAACTTGTGGCTGTTTTTTTTTATTGCTCAGACAACTGGGTGCCTCTAATTCCTTTTAAAAACAAATATCCCTTGTATGTTGCAATATTAATATCTGCACCTTGATAAAACACCTTTCAGGTAAAACCAAGAGCTCCCACCAATGTCCTGAGTCCTGTGTTGTAAGGTGATAAATGACATGGCTGGCTCCACAGAATAAACAAGATTTTTTCTTAGAGTATTCCTACTTAATTTATGTCTTTGTGCTGATATTTCATTTGTCTGTGCTCTTGCTGAAACTCAAACCAGCATGAAACAACAACTGTTCACGATAAATCTCCCTAATTTAATTTCGTTTTTGTTGTTTGTTTCATACACTTGTAATCTGGACTTGGAACCACTAATTCTAAAGATTAATAGCTACTTCAGACACCATTTAGTGGCCTTTCTTTTGGCAGATATACAGCTTTGACATCTACCCTGGAGAAACTAGGGTCCGTGCATTACAGTTCATGGATTGTACACTGAAGAAGTAAGAACTCTCCTGCAGTACCAAACTTCAAACAGCTGGTCATGGTCTTCACATAAAAATGAGCCTATAAAACCTAGGCTTCCTGCACACAACCATTTCACCTAAACTTCCCAAAGTACTGCGTGCAATGCTGGACTGGATGAGCCCTACTATTAGCTGGGAAAAAAACCCGCGGGGTGGGTGATTTGCTGAACTTGGACCTTCTTCCATCTGCAAGAGTTACAGCAGCACAGTCTAGGCCAGGGCTCTGTGCTTCAGTGCTCTATACTCACACTCAATAGGGAATTCTTCACGCCTTCCATTTCCATTCCTCGCATGCTTCTACCTCCAGTCTGTCTTGGAAACTAAGCAAGGGATTTTGCATTTTTTACAGGATTAAGAAAAACTGCTTTAGCTGGCAACATTGGAAAGAATATATTTCTCACCTTTTCTGGATATTCTTCTTCTGGATAGTCCCTGGCAGGGCTGTGTCATCACAGGACAGCTGCAGGACAGCGTTAGCCCATTCCACATCCACATTGCCCTCCCATTTGGAGCCCAGTGCACACCTAAACCAGGAGACACTTTAGTCCACTCAGTTATGGAAGCTCCTCGCTCCTGCTAGTTCATGTCTTACCAAGAATGCTTTTAAATGGCCCATTCAGAAAAAAAAAGGAAAAAAAGAAAAGAGAGAAGCAGTTTGACTTTCTGAAGAATTTCTTGTTTAACAAGGCAGTTCTCGGCAGGTTTATGCTCCAACCATTAGTATAAAGCATTCTTAGCAGCTTGTGAAGTAATTATAGGAATCAGGCACAAATCAGGCGCTAATCCTTAGCAAACAAAGCCACTGGGAATAATTAGAAATCTAAAATTTACTGCCAAGCAGCTTTCTGAGCAGTGTTACTTTAAATGCTAGGTATTTGATGACGTAGGATGCTTTCAAAACTATTATTACAAGAAAGAAAATTAACAGCCATTTTCTCTTAAACTACATCTTATCTATACACAAGATTTGGGCTGCAGTCATTTACTCTGAGTGGATCAACTCCCTCACTCTGGTTGCAGTTACATCCGTGTGAAGTTGCTGTATGGCTAACCTGTGCAAAGTGGAATAAATGATGCTGGTATAAGACATCCTTGAATTATTATAATGTCTTGTTAGATTTGACTCCTGCTTGTCTGAAATCATAGGCATTCAGCAGGCAGGCAGTTTGACAGCTGGAGAAAACCAACGAGTAACGTATATAACTGAATCCACGTTGAGCTATTAGCTCAGTGAAAGCGTTAAAGTGAAAGGCTACATTCCCAATCAGCACATCTGGCCAGGTGCAAAACATGTGTGAACCAAGCGGTTAGCACATTTTCTACTAGTGAAAGTTTACAGTGTGCTCTGTTGTGTTATTCACAATAAAATTATTTCTTTTTATATGCTTGTCCAGGGAATAAGCAGTACATCACTAAGTCAAGTTTTTTCTGCTTCAAGATTTGTGGTGCAGTTCCTCACAAAAAAATCCCCTTCCCTTCAAGGATGTTAAATGAGATCGCTTCATACATCATCACTAAACAAAAAGTCAGCTTCTGTGCGTGAATCTGTGCAAATTTACATTCCACAAATGGTTTCAATAAGGTAAATTCGGCAGTAACATAAATTGCAGTCATACGATAGCGGGAGAACGTGGCCAAGACTTGAGCATCTCCCCAGGACCCGGGAAACCTTCAGTATCATTTGTTACAGCAAGAAAGATGTATCTGAATAAGAGGAGAGGCATTTTATCAGGCTGGGAGAATAAAATCACTTTTGGAACCACAATTTGTGCTGCCTGATTAGAGTGAATTAAATAATGGTTTTTAAAAATGGTCTCAGGGAGGTTCTGAGTGAAAGTCAAGGGGTGTTTGTGCAGCCACAGAAAAATGTCTTTCTGCAGCCAAAAACAAGTGAGGTAGGTCAGTCTAAGCCAAGACTTCCCCTTTCCCAGAGGAAAGGTCTGACTTTTAAGGAAAGATCTGACTTTTAAGGAAAGATTATGTCAAAGAGAGAGTTTCCTCAGAGCACAACTCCAGCAGCACGAGGTGACTGATTATAGCTTGATATAATCACGGTACCTTC